AAAAGCCCAGTCAGCCTTAATTAAGAAGAAGTACTGGTGGCTGGAGGGCTTTTTGCTTTCTCCACTTCCAGGAGCTGACTTCTGCCTGGAGGATCCTGTTATCTCCATAAATATTGCTAATAATTGAGGGTCTGTCTGCTCACCACAAGGCTGTCCAGCTGCCAGGAGCATTTAGAGACATCTACGTTATTTCTTAGCCCAAGCTGCAGTGTTAGCCTGGGGTATTAGTTCAGTGCCAAATAATTCGGCGTGCTCTCATTGATTAATCATACAGTTAAGTCTTGCAGGGCAGGACCGCGTGCAGGAAAGCCTCTAACTAGCCAACTAATTTAAGAAGTTGCTGAATGCACAGCTCAAGAGCAACACACATTTATTTGTGTTTCTTTATGCTGATGTGCTGTAAAACAGGCTTTTCCCAAGGTACTCCAAGGGGCAAGGAGCAGAGACCCCAAGCTGTCCTTACTTGTCCAAGCAGCTGACAGCTCTGGAGAACAGATTAATGCCTGTCCAAGGCTAGTTTAAAAATATTCAGCAAACCCCATGTTTTGACAGAAAAAAAAAATCAGGGTTTCGATGGGGAGAAGCTTGTCATTGTGTCTTGGGATAGTTTTGTCTGCGGTGAAGGAAAGAACAGTTCTCCGGCCGAGTTCCTGGGTGAACTGGGAGGAACAGGAGACCTTCTACTGGGGCCTTCCACCTCCCACCCCCCAAGCATGGTGTCCATTTGGGGACAACCTGCCTGGACCCCCACCCCCAAGTGTGGTGCCCATTTGGGGACAACCTGCCTGGACCCCCCCCCCCCAATTCTGGTGCCCATTTGGGGACAACCTGCCTGGACCCCACCCCCAGTTGCTGAATGCACAGCTCAAGAGCAACACACATTCATTTGTGTTTCTTTATGCTGATGTGCTGTAAAACAGGCTTTTCCCAAGGTACTCCAAGGGGCAAGGAGCAGAGACCCCAAGCTGTCCTTACTTGTCCAAGCAGCTGACAGCTCTGGAGAACAGATTAATGCCTGTCCAAGGCTAGTTTAAAAATATTCAGCAAACCCCATGTTTTGACAGAAAAAAAAAATCAGGGTTTCGATGGGGAGAAGCTTGTCATTGTGTCTTGGGATAGTTTTGTCTGCGGTGAAGGAAAGAACAGTTCTCCGGCCGAGTTCCTGGGTGAACTGGGAGGAACAGGAGACCTTCTACTGGGGCCTTCCACCTCCCACCCCCCAAGCATGGTGTCCATTTGGGGACAACCTGCCTGGACCCCCACCCCCAAGTGTGGTGCCCATTTGGGGACAACCTGCCCGGACACCCACCCCCCAAGCGTGGTGCCCATTTGGGGACGACCTGCCTGGACCCCCACCCCCCAGTTGTGGAGTCCATTTGAGGACAACCTGCCTGGACTCCCACCACCCAATTGTGGTGTCCATTTGGGGACAACCTGCCTGGACCCCACCCCCCGAGCATGGTGTCCATTTGAGGACAACCTGCCTGGACCCCACCCCCCGAGCATGGTGTCCATTTGAGGACAACCTGCCTGGGCTCCCACCCCATAAGCAGCTGCTCGTCATCCATCTCTGGCTTGTTCCTGCTCTTGTGGGCTTGAACCATCATGGATCCCATCTTTTTCCTTCTCGTTTTAAACTCTCCAGGCACATAAAGGTTAACTCCGTTTTCTTTGCTGTCAGGAATAACACCCAGGCACCCCCACCCCCAAACAACTCTGCCTATTTATATCCCTGTATTAATCAGAAAGGCTAGCACTTCTACATCGACGTGATTAAAAATTAGGAGACCGGATTCTGTAGTGGTGCCTTATCATAATAACCAATCCTGGGAGCAGAGCGGATGAATAATAGATCATGGCTCTTTGCTACTGGCTTCTTGCTTTCCCTTCTTTCTTCTTCTCCTCTTTTTATCTTTCATTCTTCTCTTCTTCCTCCTCCCTTCCCAGGGTGGAGTTTGAGTTTGGGGAAGGAATGCAGCCACCCCTCATTTTGCAGAAGTTAGAGCTCTTGAAAGACCTTGCCAATTCCTACTCATCAGAGCCTCTCCTCCCCAGCCAGCTCCCCCGGTTATTGAGCCGGGAAACCATCGATAATTCATGGCTACACGAATAACTGGGGGGTGAGAACCACTTACTGGGGAAGGCGTAATTGGCACCCACTCTCCTTCTCATCTCCTTAAGCAGCTCCCCAAGTCTTGCTGCTAATCCAATAGAGGGAAACCAGAGCAAAACACGAGGTTGGAAAATAAGGTTTTCTAGCACCGGGAAGACAAGTGGTTCCATGCACAAGGTTGTTCCCCATCCCCTAGGTTCCATGGGGGCAGCTGGGGGACAGGCTGGACTGCTTTGCGGGGGGGATGTTAAGCCAGTGACTGCAAAAAAAGAAAAAAAAAGCCTTCAGATGGCAGCCAGAGGGACAGGACACCAGTCAGGAATATTAAACAACCCACTATAACGGCCCCTTCATTTAATTCCGAGGTGCTCTTCAGAGCAAGGCTTGTGGGTTGGGTTTCCCCCCCACCCCGCTCTACAAGATGAATTTCCAATATTTTACAAGCTGAGGTCAAATTCAATTAATAGCTTCAGTGAGGGGGAAAAAAAAACACTATTGAAAAATATCGTGTTTTTTTAAAACCAGTGTAAACTCATCCAGTGAAGGGTTGGTTGTTTTTTTTTAAGAGGAGGGAAATATTTCCTTAATAGTTAAATAGCATCAGAATTAGGCAGAATTTTCTGCATTTTCATATTCAGGGGCTGACGCATTTCAACTACCCCAAGCCATAGATTTTCACATTTTGTTCACTCTTATAGCCTGAAAAAAAAAAAATGTACATTTTGGATCCCTGTAGAAAAGCTTCCTCCCCCCGCCCCCCGCCCAGTCCCTGGGTTCCACCCACTGAGCTGAAAAATCCCATTACTCACAGCGTTTGGCAGATGTGGATGTGACCAGCCTTGTGTGCAACCAGCACATCTGCCTTGCCTACAAATCCTGCCCCGATGCAGGCAGCGCCTTCGAATTGTCAGAGAACATAATCCCTCTCCATCTCCCGCAGCCAGCCCAGCGCTGGAGGAGCCAGCCAGGAGTTTTCAAATATTTTTCGGCCAGCTAAACTGCTGGGGCAGCTCGGGAGCAGAAGCAGAGACATCCTCGGGGATTTCGGAGCCCGACGTGGATATTCGCTTCGCACGGCTCAGCCCAGTGCCAGCCAGCTCGGGGAGGGGGAAACAGCTCCGACTTTGGTGGAAAACAGGCAGGTTTCCCCCAGCTGCATCCCCTCTGTGAGGATGCTGAAGGTGAAGAGGCCTTCGCCGCCTGCTCCCAAGCTGGGTGTGAAGCAGCGATTTCTTCCGACGTCCTTTGCTAGCATGAGCTCTTCTGCTTGGGCGAGAGGGGCTGCAACGGGGACGCCTTCCCACCGCGTTCTCCGTAGGTCTGCTGGCTTCCCAGCTCTGCGAGAGCCCCAAGAGCTCCCGAAATAAGCCCCGAGGTGGCTGGGCAAGAGGTCTACCCATGTTTGGTTGCCCAAAGGATCTGGTTGGGACGAGCTAGCCTGGCAGCTGTACAGATCTCTCCATCTTCAGAGCAGGTCTTGGCTAGAGCAGACCCCCTCAGGATAGCGGGGATGAAAGATCCTTTCTGCAGGATGAAGGGGCAGCCCCTCTCTCCAGCTGAATCCCCCTTCTCTTACCGTGCTGGGGGGTGTTCAGAGGTGCCAGGCTGCAAGAGCTACTCACAGGAGACCAGGCTCCGGTGCCCCTCATTTCCCGCTTCCCTGTTTTCATCCCTCCTTGTCTCTGGCATGAAGCACTTCCCAGCACAAGCAGCTGAGATGCCCAGGGGCTGTGTGATACCAGCAAAGCCCCGTCCTGTAATGAGGATGCGGCCTCACACGGGCTGTCAGGCTGAGGCGGTTTCAAAGGCAGGTTGAGATCTTAAATGTCTTCTTGACATCCCCGGCAAAATCTGCTTTTGCAGAGGGAGAGGCTTGAAAGACTCGCCGCGGCGAGGGGGAGTCTGACCCAACCAGAGGAGTTTCACAACCTTTTGTGCGGCGAGGCGGCAGCACAGCCGATGAGCAAAAGCGACGGGGAGATCAAAGCAGGGTGAGGGAGCGCTCAGGGGTTCCTCCATCCCTCCGCGATGGAGGGCTGGTGAAAGAGCCCTCTCCACAGGCAGGCGATCCGGAAACCACGCGCCTGATTTTACCACCCTTTTGTGGGGCGAGGCGGCCGCCCAGCCGATGAGCAAAAGCGACGGGGAGATCAAAGCAGGGTGAGGGAGCGCTCAGGGGTTCCTCCATCCCTCCGCGATGGAGGGCTGGCGAGGGAGCCCTCTCCACAGGCAGGCGATCCGGAAACCACGCTCCTGATGCCCGTAATAAGCTGTTTTCCCCCCTGAGTGCAATAGGTAACAGTCCAAACCCAGCCCCCGTGCCCTTCTCCTCCAAATCATGGTCACCCACCTTCCAATTTGCAATTGGAGGAACATGGGTGAGCCCCAAAGCCCCTCCAAGCCCCATAGCCCATGTCCAGCAGCAGCCAGAGTTGCCTGGGGAGGAATAGAAGAATAGGGCAAGCAAGCAGGGATATTTCTTTCAAATATTCTCCATCCTCCCACAGTTTGCAGCACAGAGACACCCTGGGCCAGAAGTGTTTCAGAATATTTAGCAGCCCTCGGTGGATTTCTCTCCCACGGGCTTGATCCTTGGTATTACCGCAAAGCTCAGGCAGCCACTTAGCCCGTGTCCCCTCCGAAACCTCAGCTGCTTTCTGCCACGGTAGTTAAAATCTGGGGCACAGCTTTCACGTGAGCAGCAAAAGGCGAGCTGGCTATAACGTGGTGAGAGGGGGTTGCCTGCTGCCACAGCCATGTCAAAGCCAGCTGCGGAGGTTTGGGAGTCATGGCCCAGTCCTGGCAGCCCAAACCCCACAGGTAACGCCGGGAAGGCTGGTTTAATGCTAGCAAATGACATCGTCTCCTCTGTGCTGTTGCCTTGCAGTTCCTCCAGATGATCCTGTCATTATGGGGGGGCCCATCATCAGCCTGAGAGCAGGGGACCCCCTCAACTTGACCTGCCACGCGGACAACGCCAAGCCAGCAGCCTCCATCATCTGGATGCGGAAAGGAGAAGTCATCAACGGAGCCACCTACTCCAAGGTGAGGCGGGATGGGGCTGGGGACAACGGCTGTGCTCTTCCCTTGCTTCAGAAAAGCATACCAGGCCTGACACAGCTCCTCACACAGCCCCCAAACCTCTAGGGCACCCCACATCCCCCCATACAACCTTCCATATGTGGAGAAGCTGGGAGGAAAACAGTCAGGAGGACGTAAGTGAGCAACCACAAACTGCCACCAAAACGGGTTCTGCTCTGGATTTGGCTGGCTTTTTGTACCCTCCCATGGCTCATAATTGCCTGGCCTGCCCACTTCTCCCCCAAAATCCCACCTGCCTGGGGTGTTAATATTGTGTACAGCAGCACACGGCCAGCGCTGACCTGGCCTTGGCTGTAGCAGAACCTCTGGATCAAAAGGTGGCTGCAGTGACATGTGTCCCCTCCTCCAGCTGCGGTCTTCCATGAAGAACTGTCAGGGTTGTTGGCATTTTTTTAATTTAAACGGAAAGCCTTTATTGGGTTATAAAGGAAAACATCAAAGAGCAATCAACAGTGTACTCAGAACGGGTATCCACACGTTCTCCTGTTTATAGATGCCTGATGTCTGGTAAGTGCTAAGGATTCAGTAACACTTGACATTTCTAATGAAAATCTCTAAAGAACAAAATTCGAGACATAAAATGGGTCAGTTTGCAGCCATTTGTAATGCAAGCAAACTTCAAAGTCAGGAGTCAAAGGCATTCCTCTCAAGCTCCTGAAGATCTTTTAATAAACATTTCACCCTCCGCTACCACGGCGAAGCCTCCACCCAGCAACATCCCGATCTGCTTGGAAAAGCGGAGGAGCCAAACCGCCCTCCTCCCCTGCGCCCCGTCACTCGCTGGGGCGTGCCGATGCCTCAGCTGAAGCCGAGCTGCTTCCGTGCAGCTGATGGGTGCAAACAGAGGGGAAAATCGCCCCGTCTCCCTGCCTGCGATGCGAGAGGCAGCACTAATTAAAGCCAGAGAGAACTGACCTCTCCCTCTCTCAAATCAAGTGGAATTAATTAAAATCCAGGCCATTGACACGCAGTTGTTTATAACGTACTCTGTTCAACTCAAGCCTTCCTCTCCACTGCAGACTGCTCAGACCTGGCCCTGGGGAGCCAACATTTAAGCCCTTTCCCTTTCAGACCCGCAAGTAATGGGTATGATGAGAAGAACGAAGGCCCCTCCTTTATTTTTCTTTAAAATCTTTCCAACAAAAACAAGAATCTGAAGCTGAGCTTTCAGGCTGCAGCTCCATCTCGCAGGCAACACAGGGATTTCCATGGTGTTTCAAGCAGCTGTTGGGGGTCCTGTTCTGCATGGGGTGAAGCATCTTCCCCTTTTCCTGGGGTCGGAGGGATGGCATTGACTGATCTGGTGGTGTTGAACCTCAGTTTCTCCTGACTTGCTGGAGATTTTCATGAGGCCCTGCCACAAGCAGGGAAAAGCAATGTACAGGGGTGGTCCGCCAGCCCCCAACCCCAGTGGCGTCAGAGCTCCTCACCTCGAGCACCGCAGTGCCCACACGTGCACCAGAAACCCTGACTTGACCATTTTTTTGATTGTCTTAACCTTGGGAATCATTGAAAAAGAAAAACACCCTTCAGAAAAACTAATGGGCAGTTATGGAGCAGTTCATCTTGAGTGCGCTCACCAGGCACTTGGAGGACAATCAGGGGGTCAGGCCCAGCCACCATGGGTTCATGAAAGGCAGGTTCTGCCTGACCAACCTGATTTGGGCTGCCCAGGGAGGTGGCCGAGTCCCCATCCCTGGAGGTATTTAAAAGAAGGAGAGATGAGGTGCTTAGGGACATGGTTTAGTGGTGGGATGTTAGGGGTGTTAGGTTAACGGTTGGACTTGATGATCTTAAAGGTCTTTTCCAACCTAGGTGATTCTATGATTCTATGTTCGCCATTTTTGGAATGGGAGGGTTTGATTTTTTGGGGTCTGAGAAACCTTTCCCTTTTGAGGCTCCCTTTCAGATCATTCCTCAATTTTCCTCTTCCTGCTTTTTCAATTAAACTAAAACCCCACTCAGATTTCATTTGACCCAGACATTCCAATCAACCCAGAAGAAACACTGTCCCGGTTACCAATTGCCTGAAACCATTTATAGCGAGCAATGATGTCTTTGTTTCTCCAAATTTCCAGTCCCCCAACTGATGAATACGCAGCCCCGCTGCGATCACAGCCAGGCGGTACAGAACAGCCAGAGCTGACCAAAATCCCCCTTCCTTACCCTGAGCCCTACTGAAGGGGACGGTCCCTATAGCCACAGAGGGTATTATAGGGTCCTGCAGAGTCAACCACAGCACAGAAATCTCCGGAAAATCCATAGCAATGAGGCAGCTCATGGTCAAGCCAGAACATCCAGTCCATATCAGCACACCCAAAGCAAAGCTTGAGCTCCTGGGCCTCTGGGTGAAAAGCTCTTGGACAGAGGTCCCAGATGAGGTTGGTCAGGGAAATTAAGGACTGTTGGAGCACTCAGACCCTGACGACCAGGTACTAATGGGTCTTGGTCCTGCTTCTCCCCAGCTTCTGTGCTGATTGTGGTGACAACTTTTCAGCACCGTTCCTTGCATAGTGCCCGTCAGAGGCACAAACCTGTGTGCACGAACGCTGTGTCACGATGAAGCCAGGTGGTGAGAGCATTAGTCCTGCCGCCATATGTTTATAATTCAGTAAAGCACTGCCTTACGTTGTGAGTAGGAAACTTGAAGGATACAGACTTAGAAAGCAAAACTGCCTGGCAGGGTCCAAAACGCGTAGCTAGGGGATGGGTATATCCATGGGCATTTACCACTGTTATCAACGGCTGGGGGAAGCTGTGTTTCTGGCATTTCTGGTCCCTGGAGGATGTTGATAAACCAGAGAGAGGTGGGAGGAAAGCCCAGAGAATGGTTAAAAGATTGAAAACCACGCAACATCTTGAGAGCCTCCAAGGGCTCGATCGGTTTAGTGTACCAAAGGCAGGGCTACAGGGTGACCACGGTCTGTAAGAACTTGCAGGAGGATGAGGAGTTTGATAAAGCAGAGCTCCCGGGGCTCACCGATAGAGGCACGGCAAGGCACCACAGCTGGAAGTCAAAATCAGATAAGTCCAGGGAAGAAACAAGGTGCCAAGGCTGAGCAGATCATAGAATCACGGAATGTTTTGGGTTGGAAGGGACCCCTAGAGGTCACCCAGCCCAACCCCCCTGCAGGAGCAGGGACACCTTGAACCACATCAGGTTGCTCACAGCCCCGGCCAACCTGGCCTGGAATGGTCCCAGGGATGGGGCCTCCACCCCCTCTCTGGGCAACCCCTGCCAGGGTTTCACCACCCTCACTGGAAAGAATTTCTGACTGTATCTAGTCAGATAGAGCTGGTTAACAGATGCTGTACCAGGCTCGTGTTTTTGGATCCCCAGCATCCTCAGGTCCCCATCGCAGTGGTTGCTGGCACTAGGCAAGCCAGAGTGGTGATGATTTGCCGCTGCCCGGCAGCCGGGGACTCACGGCCAGGATCGGTCCCGTGCTGCTGGCAGCCGTCAGCACCACTCATTGCTACGTAAAGTGGCCCAGGTGGCTCTCCACGCTCAGCTGGTGTAGGTGCAGAAGCTGACAGCAGGTTCAAGAAGCCGATTGCCCTCTCTGTCCCCTGGCTCCCTCTTCCCGGGGCCGGTGGGTGACACGGATCTCACTGGCGCTGTGATTCCCAGGTCTAGGCACAGCAGGGCTGGAGGGAAGCAGATGGGAGTTAAGTGCCCAATTCCCAGGGAAGCGCGGTGAAATTTGTCTACACTATTCCCCTAAGGCTTCCTGGCAGATTCCAGCCAGAGGAACTGTTATTGCGGAGAGCGCTGCTTGGCTGAGAAACTGGTACAAGCGGGGGGTGGCTCTGTGCATGCAGAGCCCGGCCCGACTCCTGGCCAGGGGAAGGGGCCCCTCTCCTGTAGGAAACTGCCTTTTCTCATCCCCCTTTCTCCCCCCACAGACACTTCTCCGTGACGGCAAGCGGGAGAGTATCATGAGCACCCTTTTCATCGCCCCCTCCGACATAGAGAACGGGGAGAGCATCGTCTGCCGTGCCACCAACAAAGCCATTCCCAGCGGGAAGGAGACCTCCGTCACCATTGATATCCAGCGTGAGTACGCGGCCGGCTGAGCTGCCTCTGGGTACTCCATGATCCCACCCTCCCTGCTCTCTCCGTCACTGCCCGAGGGCTCCCCAGTCGGGAGCAGGACGCTAGGGTTTGGGGGTTTACTCCATGATCCCACCCTCCCTGCTCTCTCCGTCGCTGCCCGAGGGCTGCCCGCACGGGTCTGACCCCAGTCGGGAGCGGGACGCTAGGGTTTGGGGGTTTCCCTGTACTGGGATTTACTGGTACATCGATATGGTGAAGTCAGAGGCAGGAGATCTCATCTCCCCTGAGCTCCCCAGGGCACCAGGCGGACACGAAACACCCGTGGGGACAGGCTGCCTCCCAGCTTTTGCGTCTTGTGTCCATGGTTTTGAGAAAAGTCAGCACCGGCTGCCACGCTCTGGGGGGCCGGTGGGCATTGCACGGGGACAGACTGCGTGCCCTGATCCGGGTCTCTGGGGTCTCTGGGGCAGGGACATATCCCAGATGTCTTTGGCTGAGAAAGCAGCATCCGTGGACACGGGCAGTGGCAGAGATAAGGCCCGTTAAGATTTCTGGTACAAACCCACATGTTCCCAGTCTTACAAGCTGTTCAGCAGTAAGTTTTTTGTGTTGCTCTCCACCGAGACAGCGTGTTAGACACCTCATTGGTGGCAAGGCTCCCTCCCATGAAATACAGCAGTGTCAATCACCATCTGAAGGGGACAGACATGTGTCAAGAGCCGTATCATTTACCCTTTACTATAAATCCATGAAGCAAAATCTTCCTTCCTCCAAAATATCACGTTTCACATCTCTCTTCCCTCCTCCCGTGCAAGAGCTGTTGCTCTCGGGCTCATCCTGACCTCCCTCCAGCCGGGCTTCATTTGCACACACAATTCCTGCAGCTGTATTTACCAACAATTTGCAAATGCAGGGTGTTCAATATTAGCACGCCAGCTGCTTTCCAGAGTCCAATTAAAACTGGCTGAACAAACTCAAGCACAGCAGAAAATTCACCATTTAAGACTTCCAGCTTTTGCTGCCGGAAGATTAACAGGCTCTTGGGTCGCTGGATAGCATGTCCTGACAGAACCGGCCAGATAAAATGAGATAATAGCATGGGTTATTTCACAGCCGGCAAACAGTTACAATAGCTGGAGACGCACCGGCATTCTCACAAACAACGCAAAGCCGGAGACATCATTACACTGTGCTGTACAGTGCAGGGCAGGAGACGTGAGCTGAATCCCCGAGCCCGATGGAATCTGCTTTGAAAAGAGAAAGCCCCAATAAAGAACACCAATTTCCACCCCGAGCTATTAAATACTCCATGCTGTGAAAGTAGTAATACTAATATCCTAGCCAGCTATTAGAAATATGTTGTTCTTAATAGGGTCTAATGAGGATATCAATTTCCCAGTGCTGGATGGGTGATGGAGGGACAGAAAAATACCACGACGGATTAACCAGCCCACGGTGGAATCATAGAATCACAGAATCATCGAATGTTTTGGGTGGGAAGGGACCCCCAGAGGTCACCCAGCCCAACCCCCCTGCAGGGAGCAGGGACACCTTGAACCACATCAGGTTGCTCACAGCCCCGGCCAACCTGGCCTGG